GGCTGGGCGCTGCCTCTTGATTTATACTTCAGAAACTCGTTGGTCTGCCCTTTGCCATCGGCCCTTGGTGCTGACAGTCCCCCCGTGGTACTTGCTGGACCAGACTGGGACTGACTGGACCTTCAGCTGACTGACTGTGGACTCACCGCTATCCTACCGACGTTGTACTGCTGTTGCACTGCGGTTTAGTCCACCACTTGCCTCGCCACTTGACCACTTGCCCACTTGCCTACCTTCTAGAAGGTCTACAGCTAAGCTTCCGGAACTCACTAAGACTTCTACGCTATAGACCGACAGATCGGACCCCTGCTGCCTATGGCCTACGACAGACCTACCAACTATTTGCGAATACACAGGTCGCAGGTTCAATTCTCGGGATCTATACAGATACTGTACATAGGTAGGGTGAGGTCTAGGGATCGAACCCTGGGTACTGCATCCGCTACTGCTAAAAGGTGAAAAACGTTTCAAACCGGTAATACAGGCCAGTTTGTGCTTTCGGCTGGACCAGGACAAAAACTCCTGGCCTGTTCTGAACACGATTTCGTCCGTGGACCACATAGTTGACTCATTCTTCGTCACTTGGATGCTACCCAGGAACGGGAAGTCAGATCTGACCTCCATCTCTTTTTTTTTTTTTTTTCCTCCCAGTTCCCATCTATTCTGGGGGCCAACAGTCCGGTTGCTTATTACCGGCAAACACACGACAGAGTTCAAGATAGTGAAGGTGAAATAGCGGCAGATAAAGAGGACCAGCCTACTGCCCCTACCATGCGAGACACTTTACAAGGGGGGCATAGTATCAGATCTCAGACCTGCACCTCCAGTCTCAAGGCCTTGCTACTTTGTTCTTCTCACCATCTCTTTCTCCATAATTACCATCTAAGTAATGACCCCTCTGCCCTCCATCTTACAGCCCAGGAAACCCTAGACCCCTGACTTTCATCCGTCCAGTTCGGCGACGACCCCCGACATGTTCTCAGTAGTTTACTGCGCTGGAATTCGAACCCAGGCCTGAGTTTCAGTTGACAGTGCAGGATTTGAACGGGTTTCTAGAAAGCAGAAAAGCACAAAACAACAAGGCTGAAAGGCCTAAGACTACCAAAGAGAGACTTCTAGCGACAGATCCAAGGATCAAGCCCAGTAGAGCTCAAAGCTAGCAAACAACACATACAAACTTCAGGTCACGGGATCACGTCCTGCGAGATTCAAAACAAGAAACAGCAGACACAGTCACATGACTCACATCTAGTTAGAATACAACCCGCCTGAAACCTGCAATTCATTGCATTTGTCTGTGCCCAAGAACAGAAAGAGACGAGAAGGGGGTCGATTGAGTGAGGGTTAGAGATAGACGATAAGGACATCAGGGAGGCGGAGGCTGTGGTGTCCTCTGCACAGGTATTGAGACCGAGGTTCACTAGCCACCAGAGGAAACTGTAGGAGATATGACAATGGTTTGAGCAGCAGCGGAAACACCAGCTGCGCCACTGGCAGAGGAAACCAGAGAGTGGTAGAAGAAGAAGAAGAGGAAGGAGGAGGGGGAGGAGGAGGAGGAGAGAAGGAGAGAAGGAGAAGAAGAAGACCAAGGAGAAGGAGAAGAAGAAAGGGAGAAGAAGAAGAAGAAGAAGAAGAAGAAGAAGGAAAAGAAGAAGAAGGAGAAGGAGAAGGAGAAGAAGGACGAGAAGAAGAAGAAGGAGCTGAAGGATGAGGAGGAGGAGGAGGAGAAGAAGGAGCTGAAGAAGGAGGAGGAGGAGGAGGAGGAGAAGAAGAAGGAGAAGGAGGAGGAGGAGGAGGAGGTTAGGGCTGCATCCAGCGAACCGAGCCGGTAGGCCCCAAATCGAGGACACTACCAGGCCGGTACCGCACCCCGTAGGGACCAACACGGTAGGCTCAGACCCTGGTCTGAAGACAAACCAGGAGCCTAGGGCCTGAGGCGCACATTTTCCGTCTTGGGTGCTTGCTGGCTGGAGGCCCTGGCAGTCTTCTGCCTGGAGACAGGGCTAGCTGTGTACTGTTAAGGAGAGACGCACACCAGAGGTTGGCAGGGTGCACACTGAAGTGGAGAAGGATGGGAGAGAAGAGGCGGTCCTTGGGCGTGGGGCATGCTGCAAGAGAGGAGGATACTTGTGAGGTGGTGGTTAGCGGGGGAACTCCAGCGTGGTCAGTCTCTCCAGCGGTCATCGGTGAGAGAGGGAGGGAACTCATAGGCAGTAGATGATAGGCTACACTACGAAGCAGGGTAGGCAGACGTACCCGAGGTGAGGACTACTCCTCTGTTATTGTATTGATTGAAGTGGAGGCACGAAGAGGGCTTCCATTACCAAAACTTTTCAGTATGCAATGTGTTCTTGCATTGGCATGATCAACGCCTTGTCAATTCCGCTTTCAGTTTGGTGAAACCATGCTTCCTCTTCAATGAGTTCATGTTGGTCAGGAAATTTGGTTTTCTCACAGGCTGGTTCATTGCTCATGGCAGATTGAAAAGGACACAGTGCGGTGCAAACAAGGGAGAAAGGGAGTTTCACCTCTGGAACAATGGAGGGAATTCTTTATAAAGGCCAGCGGCCTTGAGATACATTCAGAATGATTTTATGCTAGTCATCTGGTTGCATACTGTGGACTATATATCAATGATTCATGGGTGTACCAACCGTACGCCCATTGGTGCAATGGTGGGAATTCAATCCTTATGGAAACCCAACTTATACTGTGTGCATAGCCACCTGGTGGTCGATGGTACACACAAGCACTGTTTTGAGAAAAAGGCCAACAGGTCAAGTCCAGTCAGCCAAAATGATGTAGTCCAGTCATCCAAAATAATGTAGTCCAGTCAGCCAAAATAATGTAGTCCAGTCAGCCAAAATAATGTAGTCCAGTCAGCCAAAATAATGTAGTCCAGTCAGCCAAAATAATGTCAGGGGCTAATCCCCTGTTTATATTTACTTTAAAGAAAAAAAGCAATAGAACCTCGTACCTATGTGATGAAGCAATTCCCCAGGATGGCTGGGTGATAAAATCTGACGCAATGATCGTTGACAAGGAATGGTCGTCGGTCTCCTCCCTGCAACATTTCAGACGATACCCTCATTACCAAACCACCCTACCTACACAGGCCCACAACCCAACCGCAAGAGACCAGACCAACCACACAGTGGATGCTCATTACATCTTCTCCATCAGAAGACTCTTAACTGCCACAAACAGAAACAACTTTTTTTTTATCCACCTCACCCCTTTTCCCCCCTTCTCCGCCCACACAGAGAGAAGGAGGGGAAGGATCAGGCTGGGCTCGTCAAAAGATGTGAAGCACTGAGGACTTGCCTTGTATGAAGAGAGAGAAGATGAGCAAATTAGGGTGGCGAGGCAGAAAGGACAGAGGCACCGAGAATTGTTCTGGATGGCAACTTTAAACCACCAGAGTGTGAGGGAGGCGCACCGGTTAACCCGCCAGCCATTTTGTGGACGTATGGGCCTGCCTGCACCCAGTTAAACCACCAGTACTTCCAAAAGTCACAGCCGCATGCCTGTCGTAACATGCTGGAATGAACGGGCCTGGGGCGCTGGCATAGATTCATTCAAATGGAAACGTCGGGGCACTGTAGCAATGTCTGGCTGCACGTGCGCCGCGGCTTTTGGAAGTACTGGTGGTTTAATCATTCATGGTGAAAAAGTTTTGGAGGTCTGCGTAGCTGGGAAACGGAGTGGCAGTTTAAGACACCGGTCCATCTGAGGCTAAATTGACGAACCCAAAAATGTATTTTGCAGAGCCTAAAAGTGACCCTAGCCGGCCTGTTGGAAAAATCAGTATTGTACCGGTACTGGCCTCTGTATTATTGAGTATGGGCCGCCCACAGACATTTCGAGTCCTGGAGTGACTGTTTATCCGTCGCTCTACCGGCCCTAGGCCGAACGGCCCAGGGGAGGTACTCATATACAAAAACGGATGAACAATCACTACGGATGGAATGCTGGTTTAAAAGAAAGTGAACTAAGAAACTACACTAAGAGAGAAGGAACAGACGGGAATTAGCAAACACCTTCACCCCTCTCCCTTCTCCCAATCACTCCATGGAGGTCTGCTGGGAACTGGTGCAATAGAGACGAGGATTCAAGGAACGGTCTCAAGTGCAAGACTGCTTCTCAGAAATTGGAACTGAATAAACAATCCTCCTCTGTGTCACTACAGATGGACTGCTGGTTTAAAAGAAAGTGAAGTTAGTGAACTAAGAAACTACACTCAGAGAGAAGGAACAGATGGGAATTAGCGAACACCTTCATCCCTCTCCCTTCTCCCAATCACTCCATGAGTCCATGGAGGTCTGGTGGGAACTGGTGCAATAGAGACAAGGATTCAAGGAACGGTCTCAAGCGCAAGAGCACTTCTCAGAAATTGGAGCTGAATAAACAATCCTCCTCTTCTTCACACACACACAAAAAGGGATTGACCGAAACTGGTGGCTGAATTGCAAGGAGGGGTTCCACAGAGGGGGAAGAAGGAGGGTTGGGGGTAAGGTGGGGGGGGAGGGAAGTAATATATGTGGGAGACTGGTAATCACAACCGAGGAACTGAGGGGAAAGAGGCTTGCAAAAAAACAAAACAAAAAAGAAAGAAAGAAAGAAAGAAAGAAAGAAAGAAAAAGGATTGACTAAGGGTCTCTGAGGCAGGATGATCATATAAGCATGGCTTTTTTTTTTAGTTCTTTTTTTCAGTTTCTTTCCAACGAAAAGTTCTGAAGACAATTGAAATAAACATGACATTATGCTCACTACTCCATCCATTTAGGGTTACATCCCTCTGCCAGGTTCCTATCCCAGTGGGACACTGGGAAGTCCAAAAGCTAAATAACATGAAATATTGGAATGATTGGATTATTTTAATTTACATATCATATAATCATAGTATTGCAATGAACCCTTCCCCTCAAACACACAAGATTACACACAGCGCAACATAACATTTACATACATATCGTCATATATATATTGTCACATCACTACAAACTAAAAGAGCGCACTTTGCGGAACAAAGAATAAAAGCAAAAAACGGGCACAGTGATAACATGCAAAAATAAAAACAAAAAGAAAAAACAAGGGCAGATTGAAACCATTAAATTTCTCATTCTTCTTTGAACTCCACCTCCACTGTGCCTCTCACGTGCAAGGCTCGCCACGTTGATGAAGTTGAGCGCGAGCTGCCCCCATCCCCGT